AGAGTCGAAACATTAATTTAAGAATAATGCTACACATCCTCCATTGGGGTTACAAAATTTTAATTTAGGTGACGCTAAATGATAGATTGAATGAAATGTGTGCATCTCAAGAAATTGAATAGGGACTTAAATGCTGTATTTCTTAAAGAATGAGGACTCCATTTGATCTCCTCTGTAGAAAAATCTTTACTTGGTAACGTGATTGAAGGTCCACATTGTCCTTTAGTGTATGTCACGTCTCGTGGGTATCTTATCTGAATGTCCTTTTGTTTGGTTTATGTTATTTTGTCCTTATTCGTCGACTAAATTAATTAAAGATTTAAAAATTTTATGACGAGTTTAATGAAGATTTTTTAAATAGATTTAGTAAAAAGTTATTTTTTTAATAATGTATGATTACGTGGAGAAAAACTATGAGGGTACACGTAAAATTATTTTATTAAAAAAATGTATAAGTAAAATGTTTGGGACAATATAAGTGAGAAGGGATGGTAATAGAATTACTATTATCAAAATATTGTAACGAGAAGTTTGCATTTTATTTTGTCCTTAGTTTTGGGTTGTAGTGTGACTGTATGAGTTCCTTCGGAATAAATAACATTGGTAAAATAAGAATCCATAACAACCAAATTGGTTGTCCTTTGTAACAAGTTTGTCCGTTGTCTTGTCTTTAGTTTCGTGAAGGTAGTTATTCCTACTACATTTTTCTGTTGTTTCGTTATTTATATTAATTGCACTAAAAATTTAATCTTTATTTATTATCTTACTTATATTCCCACATATTTTTGTTGCATTTCCATCTTAATCCTTCATTAGCTAACACTTACTCTGATTATGGTTCAAGACTAAATATTACGTTTGATGTTTGTGAAGGCAAATATTATGAAGTTTTATTTTTTTATTGACAAATATGAGGATCGAATAAGTCTATTTGCATTCTCGTAACAGATATTTGGAAGAAAATTATTATCATGACAATATGTGCTTGTTGATGATTAAAATTGACGTGACAATTAATAGATCAACTTAGGAAAAAAATAGTGTTTTAGGGGGCATTTGAGCCACATTATTTTGGTAATAATGCATTCTTGAATAGTGTATTGATGGGGAATGTGTGGTTAAAAAATAAAGAAAAGTTTTTGATTTGCGTGTAATATTATTTTATTGAAAATGTGTGATTAAAATGATGTCAAATCACTGTTTAAGAATGTATTTTTTTTTGAATAATGTGGCTCAAACAGGCCCTTAGTTGCTGGAATTTCGCAAAGAAAATAACAATTTGCATTGATTAATGTAGTTCAATGCAATGTACTACAAAGAAAATGTTTAGCTCGACCTATGTTGGGGATCTTTACCCCTTTATATAGACATTGTAACTGCCCTCTATCTTATGAAGCTAAAATGTCTGAGATTTATTAGTGTACAATTGTCTTGCTTGAAGAGATTTGATTGATTGAAAAATTCGATGAAGTTAGACCATCATGATACCTATGGGCTATGTCATAGCATGTGTTAGGTCATCATTACCTGTAGGTTAGAAAATCATTATATTCTCCTAATTGGTGGTTAAGGGCATCGACATCAAATGTGACACCTTACTGTCCATAAATGGGTGTCACGGAAGGTGTTGACACCATTAAGAAATATCCCTTCAGTTTACTCACATTGTTTTCAGATAAAGTCGTCTTTTAATTGTTCTAACCAACTGGCCTTATGGTTCAGTCTCACCTAGTAATCAAGGATTATTGCTAATTAAGCTTCTTTAACCGTTTTGGAGTGGGTTCGCATTCTTTTTCAAGGTGGCCCCTTGAGATCGAACACCAACACTGCTAGTGAATAAAAATGTTAATGATAAGAATGAGATGGATAAAAGTTTGGAACTTAAATGCAACCAATGAATAAAGGTTAGGACTTCTAATAAAATAAAAAATGATGCAAAAATACATTACTTGGCCACCCTTTTCTTAAGTTCTTTCAGGATAAACATCTTTAAAATTGGAATTCATACAGACCAGTGGGTCTACAAGAAGTTCGTATTTTATTTCGTCATTTTTTCTTGATTGTATTGTAACTTCATCCTAATTAAGCAACGTTGTTAACATAAGAATTAGTAACTGAACTAGAGTTGTATTTCGAGACAACACTAATCAAATTTGAAAATAAAGAAATGTACTCATGAATCGTATTCGACTAATAGATGTGACATCAATTGAGATTGTGATAAATTTTAAAAGTCATTCTAAATTTAGATGTCTTCAATTGAGATTTTATTAGATTTTAATGCAATTCAGGTGTTTCAAATTGGGAATTTAATGAAATCCTTTAAAATTTAGATATCATCAATAATTAGGGAATTTAAAAAAATTTCATCAATAGAAGGATTTTAAAAATTTTGAATGAATTTTAAGCTTAAAAGTACACATAAACAAATCTTTTGAAATTTTACCATATTTGATGAGATTCTTATAAAATTTGTAAAAATCTATTCAAATTCGTAAAATCTATTAGAATTTATAATCCCTTAAAATTTATTAAAATTTTAGTTGAGATCACCCGTAAAAATATTTTTTTTAAAGGTCGACATTACTCGTATAACAGACAAAAACTTATCTTAAATTTTTTTCCAAATCATATCAAAAACTCAAAGTTGTCTTAACGTGTACGTTAAGACAAGTAAGACAACTAGATAATTACATAAATCACCCTTTTTTAAGGTAATTTAAGAAAAGAAATGTTGGAGACTTGTGTGGTCCAGGATTGTCACTTTCCATGGGCAAATGATGATAGAAAAAGCCAAAATAACCTATCTTTTTATTTGTTCAGTAAAAATTTTCAAGTTGATACAACAGCCAACACACGCCGCGTACACCGTGGTCCATAAATCCATTTGGAACGATGAAACCGTGTCTGAGCCGATGCGCATCCGGTCTGACTTTCAACCAACCAACCAAGAAATATTTTATTATGACACTTTAACTACTGAGTGACCTCGCTCCTGTCTGTCCCCAAAATTTCAACATGTTACATTTTGGTCCATTTATTATGGGATTTGTGACATCTAACTTGCTGTCAATCCAATAATTCATTTCATTGACTCATCACTTTAAATCATCATGTCCAACTTTTTCACTATCACTTGTGCTTAAAAATAATTATAAAACGATGTGTCAATGAATCATTAGGTAGACATCAGATCTCAATACCTATATCTTTTGCCAGTTATGTTCTCAACCTATCAACCTTCTTCTATAAATCTAATATTAGATTACTAGATTGACGATTAACAACGAGTTGATAACAAGAGAAGAATCTGCATATATAATATAAAAATTAATATAAGGTTACTACAACACAATAATTTTAAGTTGAAAAGCTTTATGAATAAGAACGTCAAATACCTTGATCTTTTTGTATCTAAAAAAACCATGACTTGAATTATTGTTTGTTGTGAGTTGAACAACAATAATAATGATGAAGAATATGAAATCGACAAAGAAATAAGAACACGGATATAAGTGGTTCGACGATGTGCCAACGTCCGTAAAAACTAAACGATTATGATTTTATTATGTATGAATAATAAAGTAGCATCATCTATATATATTAACACTAGCTTTAGTCCATACAAGATTTCAGGGTCCTATACAAGGTTAAAAGGGGGGGAAAAACTCCAAAGTACCATAATTTTTCTATTTTTCTCCACCGAACGATGTGATTTACAAATTAAAGTATAGCGACGCAACTGCACCAAATTGAAATTTAGTACCTAGTTGCAAGTGTGGTAAAAGTTCAATGCAATTTAGAGAAGATAGTTTTGATGAACATGTCAGCATGATCATTGGTGGAATTCTTAATATGTGCGTGTTTATATATAGGTTTGACTACACCAAAACTCAAGTTCAATGACCTAGTTGCCAATATGATGAAAGTCCAATTTACCTCTCACGTGATTCATAATAAAAAAGAAGACTCGTGTAAGATGTACAACTACTATCTTGTTTTAGTCCATTGTCAAACATGATTAAATAAGGGGGTGGCATGTTAAAACTTTACAAGTTATAAACTTGATAATTTAGAGACAAACTAGCTAGTGCAATTATCTACATTATATCATTTTGAACTACCAAATGTTGCATAGCAAGCATCGATACTATCTTTCCTATAAGCAATATCATGGTTAAGACGTGTTGGGCTCGAACTGCTTGATGATTAAAAGTTAAATCATGCCATAGTTTCGGGACCAAAAGGTACAATGCAACCAAACAATAAAATAAGGGAAATATTCACTTGCAGTCCCCAAACTTTAACCTTAAAGCACTTGGGTCCTGATTCAAATTTTTTTTTTTTTTACTTTGAGAGCTCAGTTATTCAATTTAATGTAGACACGTCCTTTTGGATGGTTGTTTGTCGAGAAAAAAGATACCTCTTTTTTGGTTTTCTTTTATTTCCTTTGTTTCCATCCTTCTTCTTCTTCTTGTAACCTCCCGTTTGAGCTATATTTTCCCTTCCACTAAAATAAAAAATCTGATCTTTGCAGTCTCTATAAGGTCCTACACGTGAAAGAAGTCAACAATTGCGGCTGCAAATGATTGATAACAATACAATTTTTCTTTCTTTTTGGCCAAATAATTTGGCTCAAACAGAGGCTAGCCTTTTCGTTTGTAATATTTTTAGAGAAATACACTGATCGGATTACATTCATTTATGGACTGTTGAAACAAAACTTTCCTTAAAATAATATCGTGCAAAGTTTAATAACGCATCTCACGTGTTTGTATTGTAAGAGACACAGACACGTGCTTGACCCATGTCCCTTCAATGCGACTAAACCAAACGCGTCCCACGGTTCGCATTTACCTGTCGCCTTAACAGGAAAAAAAAAATACTTATTTTATTCGAAAAATTATTATTCTGATCGAATAATCTGCACCACTCAACTTCCGAGAAAATATAATTTATCTCAGAACCCACCCACTCTGCCACGCAACCCCCACGCCCCCAACTCACTAATGTCTTGATTCCTTCCCCTCTATTAAAGGAGTGGACGGCCTCGGCCAATTTAGCATCCGCCTTTCCCTTTGCTATTATCAACAGAAATTTGAGTTATTTTGTATATTTCACGAATTGTCAGCTCCGCGAGATTTCTGTTTACCATAACGGTTTAAACAGAAGAACAGGGCTTCAATAAATAGGCAATTTCTCTTTTTTCCCTCTGTATTCTTGAGTGAAAAGTATTTTCTTTACCATGCAAATCAAGAAATTGGTGTCTCTGCCTTCTCGTACAGGAAGACATTTGCAGCGTTATAATCAGGGCTGTCGCCTTGTTGTTGGGTATGCATTATTTCTTTCCTTCCTTCCTTCTTTTTATTTTTTTATTTTTTCAAGATTTTTTTGAATTGATTGATTAAATTGGGTTTTATTTGATATTCATGTTTTTTTTAGACTTAATTTTCTGTTTTATTGCAAATTCTGCAGATGTATTCCGTACAGAATCAGGAAAACTAATAAATCATCCCCAAATGAAGAATTGGAAGTTCTTTTGATCAGTTCTCAAAAGAATTCAAGCATGATGTTCCCTAAGGTATTTTTTATTCACACCCTTTTATTTTGGCATATGGAAAGGAATAATTCGTAATTAATTAATTGCCTAATTCTCTTGTTGACATTGTTCATTTTGCTGTGAATAGGGTGGTTGGGAAATCGACGAGGATATAGAATTGGCAGCTTCACGAGAAACCCTGGAAGAAGCTGGTGTAATCGGCTCGCTCGGGGTCAGTATCTCTTATTCTTATTGGACTAGTTGTTCTTATGAAATGCGATTTTCAAAAGTAATAGAAAGTGGAAAAAAGTAAAATTATTAATATATTTTTTCTTAGGCAGACGTAAAAATAATGTAATAATGGATTGGATTTTGCATGTAATGTCATATTCTCTGTCAGCGTCACATTCTCCGTTAATTCAGCAGAAAAAGTAGAAAGTGCTTAAACTGAAACAACGATGAAAGTTCAGTAAACCAACAATTGTTTTAAACCTTCTTTCGGTTACGATCTTATGTCATTTTCTAATTTTGTGGTTCCGTTTGTTTCTTGCAGGGTAAATTAGGTGAATGGATATTTAAAAGCAAAAGGCAAGAAAAGTTTCATGAGGGATCCATGTTTTCTCTGTTGGTCACCGAGGAATTAGATGTTTGGCCCGAGAAAAATGTCCGTCAACGGAAATGGGTATGTCTAAATATTGAACTTTCTATACATAGGTTATCCAGACATAAATGTTTAATGCAATCTTGTTAGAGAACAAGTTCTGATATCATATTGAATTGAACTCCGCAGATGACGGTTAACGAAGCTAGAGAAGTGTGTGCACATTCTTGGATGAAGGAAGCTTTGGATGTATTCGATCGTCGATTCTCGCTTCCACAGAGGAACGAGGCCGAACATGTGGCATCCTGCAGAACTGAAGAACTAGAGCAATCATCGGAGGTCAAGGTGTGGAAGAGGAAGTTGATCTTTACTTAATTAACTGATGGCAGGGCTAGCCTTCTAGGCTTGTTTCCACATTTGAGAAGATGTACAGTGTAATCTCAACTTGATTCTTTTATTCTTTGAATTGAAATTGTTCTTTCGTGTTGATTTCATTGTTGATTCCATGCTTGATTCTTTTGATTGTCGAATACATTGAAATACTAAATGAACTTACATATGCACACCAATATTGAACAATTAGAAAGGTGATTGTTTTCAACTTATGCAGATAATTTCATGCTGTGATGATTAACCTGTAGAATAATTCTTAACTTTTTAATTCCGAATCCTTTTTGCGAGAGAAATGTGCCAAGACGCGTAAAGACAATGCAAACTGCCAATTAGGACCCGGGAACGCCTATTGGTCGATGGGGTGCCTGAAGACAGTTTGATAAAACTCCGGCCAGAAATTTGACAGAAGCGATGGCCTCCTAATCTGAAATCCACCAAAGGCTTAAACAAATCCCACGTGACCTTCACTTCCAGTGAGCAAGCTATTGCATAATTGTTGATTTGGCCGCCACATCTCTCATTCAGATGTTGGTTGAGCAATACGATAGATTTCAGGCGACAAACATTGACTAGTGTGAATTTTGACACGGTACAGAATTCACAGGAAAGTTCACTGGTGAGAATGGCTCTGACTTCCAAATTGTCATGCTGGTAAATTCTTGTCCAACGCCCTTATGAAAAGAGCTCGACAATTGGAGATGGTTAGCAATTGACCCTGTATTATTCCTATGTGAAATCTTCTACATCTTCCAATTTTAGAATGAAAATTCAAAATTGTGTTGCAGCAACGAAACACGTCCTTGTGCACCAGCCTGTTTGGACAGAACAGCATACTCTCGGACAATTTTAACAAGAGACCATTAAAAAAAGATTGTGAATGTGATCATTTGGAGCATTATTCACGTGTTAGAAACTTAAATATTATTAATGTAGATTAAGGTGGTTTAACAGGGTGAGGCAGGTCTTTGGCAGACTATTTGCTATAGTTTACTTCTTACTTTTGATGCCTTTGTATAATATATTTGTATTAGTGTCTTGAGGAAACTTAAGGGAAATTGAGAAATAGCATTCTTTTTATGCTTTTCTGAAGGAGGCACCAACATTTCATGACTCGATTACTAGGCTTTTCATCAGTTTTTTCATGTCAAAAATTAGTATTTGGATTGGCTTATCAATGTGAAGATTCTGATATTGCCTAGTTAAAGTTGCCCTTTACTCGTAGACCTTTTACGGATTGCTCGTGATCCTTTTTAATTCTACGCTTACATATTCTAAAGCAAAAATGAAACCTAATACGCCACGTGTTTGGCTCATCATCGAGGCAAAGAAAAGATTCAGTTCATCTCTGAGATTTGAGTAGTTAAGTGTCACACAGGAGCTCGAAATGGTCAAGTTTGTGATACTTGAAGTATTTTCTTTTTCGGGGTGTGTCTCCAGAACGAAGAGAGACTTTAATGGAAGACAGAAACCAATGGTTGGATGCTTTAGAAAAGCCTTTTAAAATATTGTTGAATGTTGGCTTTTTATCTCTCAAATTTATTTAACAGGGTCGGACTTGTCACTTGTATTAATTTGCAAACTGGACAAGAATTCCTGATTCTAGAATCAAGATTTAAAATCCCATATGGCGTACTGTTTAGGGATGGACCCTAGATTATAGTTCAATGGGATCCAGAATCACGTAAGAAATACTTGGATTTGGGTTAAAAATTATGGACTAAAATTATGTGGACTTTTTTTCAATGTCAAACTGGACCCTTAATGGGTCTGCCCTTAATATTGTTTACTTCACATGTGAAATTACACCCATCACTATATTTTAAATTAATATTCTAATTTTGTTATGAAAAAAGAGAAGATAGAATAAAAATCAAAATATTTTTGTGTATTTTATTAATAATCAAAGTCCTGCATTTATAGAGAAGAATCAAGAATACAACGATAATAATTTTAAAGGCTGCGGGGGTACAATTGGCATTCACTTTTAAAATTACAATTTAAAATATTTCCCATTGAATGACACAATACAAAATATCTGCCTCGTTAAAATCTTATTTGATAAAAATTCAATGGGATAAAAAATTAAACGAAAGAAAAAAAGTATAGTTATTTTGGAATATTAAAAATAAATGTTGCCTCATTAAACCTTACTAGGAAAATTCAGTGGGATAAAACCTAAACGAAAGAAAAAGAGTACAACTACTCCCCCCGATGTTAATCACTGAAAATCTTTGAATCGACTCACTCCAATCTCATGAGCCAATTTATTGAATGTAGATGTCGGCAGTGATTTTGTGAATAAATCGACCATATTGTCACTTGAGCAAATTTGTTAGATATCGATATCGTCATTCTTTTGAAACTCATGTGTATGAAAGAATTTTGAAAAAATGTGATTCGTCCTGTCATTTTTGATATAATCTCCTTTAAGTCGTGCAATACAAGTTGCATTGTCTTTATACAAAATTGTTGAACTATCTTTTATTGAAATTAACCCGCATAATACTTGGATGTGATGGGTCGTATTCCTCAACCATATGCATTCTCAACGTGTTTCATGGATTGCAATAATTTCAAAATCATTTGAGGATGTTGTCAATGATTAATTCACATATTTCCATGATATAGTTGTTCCTCAATATGTAAACACATATCTTATTTGTGATTTAGCTTTATGTGGGTCAAAAAAATAACATGCATCTACAATTCCCACTAAAGCGCCAACTTTTGAGAATATAATAATCACAAATCAATAGTGCCCTTCCAATAACAAAAAAATATGTTTAACACCATTCCAATATTTTTATATTAGTGTAGAGCTATATTTTGCAATGAGATTGACAGCAAAAGTTATGTCAGGTCGAGTGCAATTTGCAAGATAGGTTAATGCTCCAAATACACTAAGATCTGTCACTTCAAGACCAAAAACATTTTCTCTATTTTCAAGTGGACGAAATTGATCATTTTTCACATCAAGTAATCGAACAATCATAAATGATGTCGATGAATGTGCATTATCCATATAAAAATATTTTAAAACTTATTTTGTATATGTAGATTGATGGATAAATAATCATGGGAAGTGTTTAATCTACAACCTAAGACAAAATTTGAATTTTTCCAAATCTTTTATTTCAAATTCATTTTTCAAATAATCAACAGCTTTGTTGAACTCTTCAGAAGTTTCAATTAAATTTAAATTATCAACATAAAATTATCAACATAAATTGTCATGATTGCAAATCCAATATTTTTTTTTTTTTTATGAAAACACGTGGGCAGACATTGTAATTTTTATAGCCTCACCCTTCAACAAATCTTCGCTAAGAGGATTATACTATATGTGTTCATTTTATTTGGTCAATCATTACTTCAATTGATATATTTCAACGCATTTATTTTGATTCATTGCTATATGATATAGTACATCAAGTGCAAAATTGTTGTCGACAATTTTTTCTTTTCGATTCTATTTCTTTTCCCTTAATGACATAATTTATTGAAATATTTCAAGTTTCATTATTTCAAGTACTTGAACCTCTTTTGAGATTTTATAATTTGTTATGTCAAAATATTCATCAAGAGTATATGCATCTTTAATGAGATAATCTTTGCTAATTGCTCCATTTTTGTTTAAAGATTTTTTGTATTAGAATCGAACACCATCACGCTTTAAGTATGTCATAGATATATCAAATATAATGTTAACAAATTATTTTCACAGAATATCAATTTGTGTTGGAGTATTTAAAATTGACACATAAGATATTGTTTATCTTTTTTATCAATAAATGCATCTAAGTAAATTATCTTTCAAACTTCTGGTTTGAATAATATTTTTTGCGAGAATTTAGATGATGATACATTTATATATTATTTTCAACTTCTTAATTCCTCTTCCTAACGCTGAGAGAATTTTTCAATTAAATTGACAATCATTTTTTCAATGTTATAAAATATCGTCCATTTTGGACAAAAGTTCAAACTACGCATTTATTCTCAACTTTTTTTATTTTCATCTCAGTCCATTGTGATGGTTCAATTTTACATATACTTCACTATTAAACTAATTAGATGAAAAAATTAAGCTCTGACCATAAGTGAATTATAACATAAAGAATTATGATGTTGACATGATACAAAATAGAATTCTCTAAACAAAAATGAGAAGTACTTTGTTCTCAATTAAATTAATTGGAGCCATTTAACAAATAATAGTGTTAAACAATTTATTGACATTCCAACTAATAGTTATTAAAATGTTGATATTTATGCCCACTAGCTTTAACAAGATACAACTTTGATTATACAATTTAAAAATTATGTTCATAATTTAAAATTTGAACAATAATTTCACAAATTTCAGGTTGTAAACACCATGCAATCATCTAGTATATATATCAAATCTAATAGATACAAATAATATTTAGATGGTCAACGTAGAAGATGATAGGGCCCCATTTATCACCCTAATTATATAATTTTCAGAAAATATAGAAAATTCAGTTCTTATTTTAGCTAGTATGATCCGACTGGTTATGCCGAACAATAAAATCAAATTGAACTTATGGTTTAATATAAGATATAATTCGATTATTTAATTTCGAAGAATACGATTAAAACTTATATAATCATATATCATTCAAAAGGTTAAACTAATCAATGTTCTCATGACATTAGTTATATGTTTTTTCAGAGATAAAATGAATTCAAAATGATATATTCTTTGAAAATGTGCTACTTTGAGATCATATTGTCTTTAATTATTGCTTCTTTAAGAGCAATATGTTAATATTTTTCTGAAATATTGAAAATTATAATTCATAATTTTTAAGAGTGATATTTTAAATTTTTTCTTGAATATTAATAATATAGAAAATTAATTTTATTTAAAAATTACAACATAATATTGAGTTGTTTAATTCGTGTTTTTTCATGAACACAATGAGATATATTATTCGGGGTGTACTTCTACTTCGAAAGTACATTATATTTTAGTATTGCTTCTTCAAGAGTAATGAAATAATATTCTTCTGAAATATTGAAAATTATAATATTACGCTCTTTAAGAACAATAATATATTATTGTTTATAATAATAAATTATGTAAGGATTTACTCTTCAAGAGTGTTAACATCCGAACTCCGATCTGGTAAAAACAATTCGCTAACCCCACCTCAGTTAAAAGTGAGTTCAGTTCACATTTTCAGGTCGGAGTTACCCGCCGTTATCTCAGAAAAACACCATGATTACCCCTTGTCACATCACCCTATCAATCAAAGACACTTGCCACATGTGATGTCATCGCCGCCCGGAATAGCCAATTCCAAGTCCTCGAATTCCAGCCCCCTACAGGTCATTATTACTTTGGCACTACATTGGCACGTGACCACCGACCTCGTTGACCAATCATTGGAGAATTCGGCGACCCGAGTTGCGAGCTCAGCACTGTTGTTGATTTGATTGATTTGATGTAATTTCGGCTGAAATATGTATAAATAGTGGAATAGGACTCTTGTAAGAAAAAAAAGGGAGAAAATGAATTGAGATAACGACTTATGGCACAATTACAAATTTGTGATCTTTTTGAAACACAAATTTCCCTTTTTCTTAAAGTTGGTTCAAAATCTCCCCTTCTAATTTTGACATCAACAGTTTGGCGTTAGAAGGAGGGCCCCAATTGTGTAAAATAGTTTCATTTACTCCATAAAAAAAAAAATTTCTTTCAATGGCCATGAGTCATAGCTCAAGTTCCAAAAATCTATCTCACACCCACCCTCATGAAACGAATGTACCACTGGATTCTCCACAACGGCAGGACCCTCAAATGATTGCAATGAGGAAAGCCCTAGAAAAACTGATAAATGCAGTGGGACGAATGGAAAGGAGCCAAGCCCATTCGCTCCTACTAGATACCGAGGTGGAATCTCCTCTAAGGATAAAGGCAAAGCGTCCCCCCACCAGGAGAACTCTCCACTTTTCAAGAGGAGAATCATCGAGAAGCCAAACTAACGAGGCCAAAAGCAAGGAACCTGAGGCGAGAAGGACTGCAAGTGTGTTCGACAGATTGGGGACTCATCACTCGCTGACCCCTACGCAAGGACAAACCGACCTTAAAACGCCCTTTGGAACAAACAGAACCCAAACTAAGCGCGCTTAAAAAATGCATCGTCGAAGTGGAGGCTAAAAACAAAGGTAGCACGGAAGGTTACCAAACCAAACGACATTCCCCCTTCACCGAAGATGTCCTCATAGAACCACTGCCTGAAAAATTGAAAATTTCCCAGATCGCCGCATACGAAGGAGATAGTGACCCCCTCAGCCACCTTGACAAATACACCTCGTGGATGGAATTACAGGGAGCAAGCAACGCAATCATGTGCCGAGCATTTCCCCTAACTCTAGGAGACAAAGCCTAAAGATGGTTCAGGAGGCAACAACAAAGGTCTGTAAAAAACTGGGATGATCTAGCCATGGCATTCTTGGCCCAGTTTATGGGCTCAAAGGCTATAACTACACCCAAAGAACGTCTAGTGAGCATCAAACAGGGAAGAAGTGAATCCCTCAAAAGCTATCTGAATAGGTTCAACAAGCAATCCGTGGAAGTAGAAAAAATATCTGACGATACAGCACTCATGGCCGTATTAGCAGGACTAAGACCCAAAACAAGATTCTGGTGGTCAGTACATGAGGACGGCCTAAGGACTAATCACGAGTTCCTTAACCGAGCTGAGAAACACATAAGTGCTGAGAAGGCAACCTCTAACCAAGAGGAAGTGAGACGAGAAATTGACCTCAATGATGTGGAGAAAGAAAAAAACCAAACCGCAGTCCTCAACCAAAAAGAAAGAAGGACAGGAGAGAAAGAGATCGTTCCAGGGCTCAACCGTATAAGTTTTGGGAGTACCGCCCACTTAAAGCCTCCTTGGAAGAGGTATTCACGCAAGCCAACACAAAAGAAGCATTTCGCAAACCTATAGTCCTGAAAAACGAACAGGCTGCACAATGCCAAGGACGATATTGCCGGTACCACAGGACCATGGGCCATGATACCGATAACTGCCGAGACTTAAAAGAGGAAGTTGAGTCATTAATTCGGCGAGGTCGGTTACAAGAATTTGTTGCCAAGCCAAAAGAAGCAGATCGACCTACGGTGCAGCAGCCACAGCTGCAGGGGCCCCCACACGAACCCAACAGGCGATCCCCAACCGTAACCCACCTCCACATGTCGAAATCAATATGATGGTGGGCGGAAATTAGTATATTGAAGGATCTAGAAGGGCCAGGCGAAGGCAAGCCCGAAGTGTAAAAACCGTACCGAACTACTGGAATCAAATCCATAGAACTGACATTGACCCTAAATCGTTTTGGTTCACGGAAGAAGATTCTGAAGGAATCCTCCAACACCAAAGTGACGCCTTGGTGGTCACAATGATGGTAGCCGGAGTGAAAGTCCACCGCACTCTAGTGGACAATGGAAGTTCAGTCAATATACTGTACTCACAAACCTTGAGGCAGTTGGGAATATCAATTCGCTACCTCCAACTGTATCCAAGGAAACTACAGGGATTTTCTGAGGATCCTATCGAAGCCCTAGGTCAGATAGTCCTTAGTGTGGAGCTAGGCGAAGCTCTTCGCTAAAGAAGAATCTTAGCGAATTTTGTGGTTTTCGATTTACTGTCAAATTACAATGCAATATTGGGACGACCCATTTTGCATGAACTAAAGGCTGCCACGGCAATTTATCATTATTGTGTGAAATTTCCCACCCCTTACGGGACTGGAATTATCCGATGGGATTAAGCTACTACAAGGGCCTGCAACATTGACCTGCCAAGGCCACAAGTCAACATGCTGAGGAGTAGGATGAACACACAAGTCGAGGAAGCCAGACCAAAGAGACCAATCGTTGTAGATCTCTCTAAAATAGGCATAACGAAAAAAGATCTCAAAAAAGCCATAGACGAGCAACTATCTTTTGACGAGAAGGAGGTGGACGCGCACCCGTACCACGGAGTTATGGTAATCTCGTTGCCTATAGTCGGGGTAACCATCCCCAAAGTCTTGGTGGATACATGAAGCTCTCTGAACATCCTATTCAGCCACACCCTAAAATGGATGGGTATCCCTGCTAACTTTCTTCAACCATACCCAAATATGGTGTTAGGATTAAGCGGAGCCTTGACTTCTGCCAAAGGATCAATCAAACTCAAAGTCGAGTCTGGATCAGCACCTCGACAGTTGAAGACGAACTCCGAGTTCGTGGTGTTCGACACCCCCTCCCCTTATGATGCCGTGATGGGACAGCCCCTACTCTTCAACCTGAGAGCAGCAGTTTCCCTATATCACTATTCTATCAAGTTTTCCACACCCTATGGTGTGGGGGAAGTCAAAGGAAATAGGGAGCTCGTCGAAAGTTGCCAATGGAATACCTGTACTAGTCATCAACACAGCTTCTCGGCGGTACACATGGCGAACATATGGGAACCCGAACTCATTTCCTTAGACCCACGGACCAGGATCAGAGGCGGAGAACCCATAGAAGAACTAGAAGGAGTTCGAATCTGTGCCAAGGACCAAACAAAGGAACTCAAAGTTGGGTGCGAATTAAAGCCCTCCACCCGAAGCGAGCTTGTGGCTTTTCTTAAAGAGAACCTCGATGTCTTCGCTTGGGATCACAGTGACATGAGATGAATAGATCCTAATATTACATGCCACAAATTACAGGTGGATCCCTCAGCTCGGCCAAAGCAGCAAAAACGACGACCTCTAAATCCTGAAAGATATGAAGCATTAAACAAAGAGGTGCAAAAAATGTTGAACAATGGTTTACTCCGTGAAGCGAAATACCCGAAGTGGGTCGCGAATCCGATCTTTGTGAAAAAACACAACGAAGATTGGAGGGTATGCATAGATTTACCGATCTCAACAAAGCATGCCCCAAAGATAGCTTTCCATTGCCAAGAATAGATCAAATGGTGGACGCCACAGCCGGGCATGAGATACTCAGCTTCATGGACGCGTATTCCGGATACAACCAGATACCGATGTATGGCCCAGACCAGGAGCATACCTCTTTCATAACTGATCGGGGTCTTTACTGCTACAAAGTAATGTCATTCGGTCTCAAAAATGCTGGCGCCACCTACCAGCGACTCGTGAATTCAATGTTTTCCCAGCAGATCAAAAAAACAATGGAAGTATATGTTGATGACATGCTGGTCAAAAGCATAAAGGCCAAGGACCACTGTCAACATCTAACCGAAATGTTTGATATACTAAGGAAGTATGGAATGAAGTTGAACCCGAGAAAATGTGCTTTCGGGGTCAGTTCAGGAAAATTCCTAGGTTACATCGTAAACAATCGAGGAATCGAGGCAAACCCTGAAAAGATACAAGCTATCATCCAAATTAAACCCCCAACTAAACCCAGAGAAGTATAAAGTTTAACTGGAAGGGTTGCGGCCCTCAGTCGGTTTGTCTCCAAATTTACGGACCAATGCAAACCCTTCTTCGACACGTTACGAGGTGGAAAGAAGTTCGAGTGGACCAAAGAATGTCAGGATGCCTTTAACGAGCTAAAAAGACAATTAGCTAGACCACCGGTGCTTTCAAAACCAAAGGCAGGCGAGGCTTTGAAGATCTATTTATCTGTTTCAGAGCACGCCACTAGCGTCGTTTTGACTCGAGAAGAAAATGGCATTCAACATCCGGTTTATTACGTAAGCAAAGCGCTTTATGAAGCCGAGCTCAGATATTTGGTTGTAGAAAAACTGGCATTCACCCAGCTGATGGCAGCGCGAAAACTGAGGCCATATTTCTTGGAACACCCCATTGAGGTCTTGACCAACTCTCCATTGAGACAAACGCTACAAAAACCTGACACCTCTGGACGGATGATAAAATGGGCAGTAGAGCTCGGATAATTTGACATCAAATATACGCCTCGCTCCTACATAAAGGGCCAGGCACTGCCGACTTTGTCTCTAAGTTCTGCAACGTCCCAATTGAAGAACAACAGAAAGAAACTCCCTGGAAACTTTATGTCGACGGTTCATCCACCGGAGAACGATCTGGAGCTGATGTCGTATTGATCAGCCATGATCACCACATGTTCTGTGAAGCCTTGCCATTCGACTTCAAAGCTTCAAATAATGAGGCCGAGTATGAAGCTCTTATTGCTGGAGCAAAGATGGCCTCAGGATTAGGGATCTCCGACCTAATCCTGCACAGCGACTCCCAACTAGTCGTGACGAAAGAAGATAGGATGGACAACTACCTACGTGTTGTGAAAAAAGAAATTGAAAGGTTCAAAACCACCCAAGTCAAACAAATTCCCCAATCTCAGAACAATCATGCCGATGCATTGGCTCGCCTAGCCAGCAGTGAGGAAATCGAGGAATTCGATAGCATTCTTGTAGGAAGGATATCTCTACCGTCTACTGAGCTGGATAAAGTGGTCCTGATGATGATAGATCCCAAACCAACTTGGTAGGACGAGATCATCTCTTACCTGAAAATCGGAAAATACCCCGAAAATCCTAAAAAGGCTAGAAAGCTCCGAACAAGGTCGACTAGGTACCTGCCTTTGTTAAGATGCTTGAATGAAGAGGAAGCCCAGTACGCCCTGTAAGACGTTCACGAAGGAATATGTGAAAATCATTCCGACGGACTCTCACTGGCCCACAAGATCGTACGACAAGGATACTTTTGGCCTGCAATAAGACAAGATTCCCTTGAATTTGTCAAAAGATGCGATAAGTGCCCGCGCCTCGCCCCCATCATAAACACTCCGCCGCACGAACTAAACCCAATGACAGCACCTTGGCCCTTTGCAAAATGGGGGGTTGACCTAATCAGACCCATGCCCGTTGGGAAAGGAGGTGTAAAATTTGCCATCGTCGCAGTGGACTATTTCACTAAATGGGCCGAGGCAGAGCCCCTTGCCACCATCACCAAACAAAAAACAACCCATTTTTTACGGAAACCAGTGATCTGCAGGTTCGGCATACCTCACTCCATTGTTACAGACAATGGAAAACAGTTCGACAACGCACAACTTTCGAATTTCTGCGAAGAGCTCGGCATCCAGAAACATTTCTCATCACCAAACCATCCACAGGCAAACGGCCAAATCGAAGCTATTAACAAGATTATTAAGCACACATTGAAAGCAAAACTTGACTTGTTAAAAAGAGGATGGGCTGAGGAACTCCCCAGTGTGTTATGGTCTTATCGAACTTCCATAAGAACAAGCATCGGAGAAACCCCCTTTTCAATGGCTTTCGGCGTAGAGGCCGTGATTCCTCTGGAAATCTACATTCCCTCGCTACGTATAGCTAATTACAATGAAGAAAAGAACCACATGGCTCTTCGCACGGAGCTCGACCTAACCAAAGAAAAAAGGAACAATGCCGAACTCAGAAATGCCGTTTACAAACAGCGAAACGTCAAGTACTATAATCAAAAAGTGCGAAAAAGAGAATTTGAGGTAGGATTCCTCGTCTTGCGGAAAGTATTCCTCCCCATAAGGAGATCGGCAGTGGATGCCTAGGTCCGAATTGGGAAGGTCCCTATCTGATAACGAAGGTCCTACAAAAAGAGGCATATGAATTGGAAGACTTGGAGGGCAGATTTCTACCCCACCCTTGGAATGCTGAACACCTTAAGCAGTACTACTAGTAAACGAAAAAAGTCCCCTTGTAACATCAATCATATCAATAAAAAGGGACTTTCTATTTCTTTTGCACATTTTTGCTCGGCAACCTGTCAAAACCTCATTAAGCCTTGCCTTATATGCAGGCCGATCTAAGGTCGTATGTGCTACGACACTTAGTGGAAGATTCCTCCTAAGGAACCTCATTAAGCCCTACCTCATATGCAGGCCGATCTAAGCTCGTACGTGCTACGACACTTGGTACAAATGCCCAACGTATATGCCTAATTCGGAAAGCGCGTACTGCATAACTAAGCGAAATTCGTTTAAAGTAATTTTGTTGTAAAACTTTTACAATTTTTGCTAAGTCTGTGAGAAAAAGTCGTACTGAACATAAACAAATCATCCATTTCAAATTAAAACATCATAAATCAGTCAAATTATCCATTTCAAATTAAAACATCACAAAACACCTAAGGGTCTTGGGGGGCAGGGGTGGTATCTCCAACATCCTAAGCTTCTGGTAACACCCGAACTCCGGCAGACTCCGACAATTTCTGCAACTCCTCCTTCTACCCTTCTAGTGCCTCATCCAGAAAGGCCACATCAAGATCGGGTCTCTCTTTCCTGATGTGCCCTATCAACTTCTCCAGGGCCACAACGTACACATCCTGGGCCACCACATCAAACTCGGAGGACTCCTTCCAGGCCTCCACCGCCTTGTCGATCTTGGCCTCAGCCTCTTCAGCCCTTTCATTGGCCTCCTGGACCTTCTGGATGGCCTCCCTAACTTTGCCACGCTTCTCGTCTGCCCGAGCTCTGGCCTCTTCCTTCGAGGCCCTCAACACCTTGATCTCCTCCATCAGTTGCTCCTCGACATCAAGCCTGGAGTTCAGCTCAATTCCCATTTGGTTCAGCTTCTCCTCGTACTCGTTCTCCCGCAAAGCAAACTGGGCCTTTTCAGCCTCCATGCTGTTGTAAAGATTGAAGGCCTAATCTTTGGCCTCTATGAGTTTGTCTAGCTTGGACTTCACCTGTTTTTAGAAAACACAAACCAAGCAAGTCATTAAGGCATTCAAAAAAAAAAAAAAAAAAGAACAAGTAAGAGGTATACCTTATCCGCCACTCCCATCATGTACAAAACTGATCAGTGGCCATGGAGTTGAGCAGTGACTAAAGCCTCGTCAATGGGCATCTCATTCAGATAGCCCTGCTCCCTCTCACCCCAGCTCCGGGTAAGTAAAATGGCTGACTCCCTCAAAGGCGAAGTGAGCACGGCAGTCGTGCCCCTGGGAGGAGAAGGAGCTCGGAGGTAGTCCAGAAATATCTCCGGTCTGTGTCCCACCAAACTTTCCTAGCCCGGCCTTTGTACATCTGGGCACCGATCCTTCAGGTTCGCAGAACTGGTCCCCACAGCAGAAGGAGCAACCGGTGATGGCAACGAGGGAGACGGCAGGGTCGGGCTCTGGAATTCTCAGTGATGCCGGGGGCGCAGATCGGTTCCTCTTTAACGGAAACTCTTCCTCCACCTCCTCAGAACGGCTCTCCATTCGATCTAGAAATTCCCTCTTTTTCCCCTTCGATGCAGCAGCCGCCTTGTAGCCCGTATTTCGTCTTGATAACTGAGAGAAAGTAAAATGCTCAAAAAGAAAACACATATATGCATAAAGGAATTATAATCACGAATGAAGATCAAAATATTACCTGAGCTGGAGGGAGCAGAACTTGAAGCTCGTACTTGAAGCAGTCCAGCTCGGAATAAGTTCGAATCTGAAATTACAAACTTACAGGACCTCTGCTTTTTAGGTAACGATCTTATCTTCTCAGCTCTTCTCCGAGTGTCTCTGGTTAACGTCTCCTTCTTGTAATCTGCAAAAAGAAAAATACCAAGGTCAGAACTTCGTAAAACATATGCCTTGCTAAAAAAAACTAAAACCCAAAAAGACACTTACATAACGAATGATAGAGCCTATTAACCACGTCCTCCCTATTCACCTCGGCAGAATGAAACTGCCACTCCCCTGGTACGTAAAACAATTCCTCCTTCCATTTCTTAATTGAGGATGGGGTGTCTAACATCAAAGAACCTCCCGTCCTGGGCCTAACGCTTGTGTACCACCAGCCCGAGTTCTTCCCATCCTCCTTAAAAGTAAACAAAGAATCGAATTACTGGACACTTAGCTTGGGATTTCCCATTTGGCCCCACAGAATAAGGGTGGCAATTAAGGTTCGCCACCCGTTAGGGCATAGCTGCATTGGAACTATGCCCCAAGGAGAAAGGAATTTACGGATCATCCTAGGAAAAGGAAGTATA